GTGTGCGTATAGCCTCAGGCCAGAGGGTGTGACCGCCGCACCCAAAGTCTGTGTGCCACTTGTGGGAGAAGACAAACCCCTCGGCCCTCCGGCCCTCCGGCAGGTCGGGATCTGGGGGTTGGGGCCTCACCCCCAAGCCCGTGCCAGGCCCCTGGTGGCTGCCCGGTGCTGAGCTGCAGGCCGGCCCCCGTGAATCAGACAAGCACAGCTAAGTGACTTTGCTGTTTTAATCCAGACCGTGCCCCACTCTTCCACACTGTCCCCTCCCTCTGGCTAGGCCACGTTTCCGTGGTTCTAAAGTGCCTGGGTTAGTTAGAACAAAAAGCAACCTGCAGTCTCTATAAAAATGAGTGGCCGTTGCAAGATTGAGCTTCTGTTGTCCGTTTGAAGTCGGGGTTCGGATCTGACCCCGGCGAAGCGGGGGGCCTGCTGCAGGCCCCAGGCAGCCAGCCAGGCTAGACCTGTAAGAGCAGGGCCACGGCCGCCAGGATCCACTTGGCCGCCTTCTCTTTGGTTTTGAGGTTAAAGGTCCACACGTAGGTGGGGCCACGGATGCGTGTTTTGTACACAGGACACTCATACATGTTCTTGGTCTCCATGCGGTCCACAGGAATGGCCTTGATGAAGACGACGGGCATGGCTGGCGTCAGCTCCTTCAGCCTTGCTTCGGCGATGACTCCGGTCTGGGTGTCCCAGCGAGCTCCTGCAGGACAGCGCAGCGAGGTCAGGGGGGCCCGTGGGGTCGTGCCCGGGCGCCGTGTGGCGTGCTGGCCGTGAGCCACACCGGGGGCCGGCGGGGTGCCGGGGCTGGACTGGCACAGGGGTGGCTGGAAGCGGAGCCGTGAGCGGAGGCCCGGGATGGGATGCGGTACACGCGGTGCCCCCCGGGACCCCGCCACGTGCCTCTGAGGGACAGCTCAGCCTAAAGCTCTCGGGGCCACCCGTTTACATTTGTGGTGTTTCCAGAACCTACCCGTCAGCCTTCTTAATTTCGGTGGCAGGAAATCGTACCTCCAGCTGAATGTTACGGGAGATTAACGTTCCCCGATGCCCTTCATATGTAGCGTCTAGCCTACGTGTGCACGCACAGTGCACGTGATTACATGTATGTGCACACGGAACTTTCATTTGCCTTTAACCAGACTGCTCTGTTTCTACTCACCCTGTTAATGGTGTTTGTATTTCCTGTCTGTAATTCCAAAATAAACACGTAGAGCGACTCTTGCTGTGCTCGTCTCTGATATGGGGACCGGGGAGCCCCGAGCCCTTGCTGGCCAAGCCCTGCACCCCCTAGGTGAGGGGGCGACGTGAGTCGCTGCGTGGGCCGGAGGTCTGTGGTGCGGTAGCTGCCACTCAGCTCCACGGGTCTGAGGGACGGGGCTGCCCGGTGGCCTCAGCGGGTGCAGGACGGGGTGGCTGGCGCCCCCGGACATCCGGCTGCCCCGGGGCTGCCTGCTTCTCGCTGTCCTGCGAGGGCCACGCCCCACACTGCCTTGAAACAGGTGCTCACGCCACTTTTGGCAAAGCCGAACCAGGCTGGCCGGGCTCTAGACTGTTGTCTGAGCGTGCCGTCTCAGCCGTGCCACCCATCCCGGCCGGCGCCGGGCCTCAGGCCCACCCGCCCCTCCGCGCACCTCTCCCACCTGCCCCTCCAGCCACCGCCTCTCCTCCAGCCCAGCGGGAGCGGCACCCCGTTACCTTCCATGAAGAGCCCGTACACGTAAGCGCCCTCTCGGGGCGGGGCCGTCATGTCCTCCCGGTTCTTCTTGGTCACTTCCACGGACAGACACATCTTGTCCAGGGGCCACTCGTTCTTCCTGGCCATGGACTGCATGATGGCCGTGAGGAAGGACTGCGGGTTGAAGAAGCCGGCCAGCCACACGGTGGTGGGCAGGGCGAAGTCCGTCGTCCAGGCCTCGAGCTCCTGGTGGAAGTATGCCATCGGGGTGACGCCCCGACCTTCCCGAGCCACGCAGATGGGTCAGCGAGGCCCAGCCTACCTGTGCCACAGCGGTACCCGCCGACTCCAGTTAAAATGTAACGGGAAGAGGGGCATGGGGGGGGGGCCTCAACCTTTGAGGACAACTTGGGGGCCCGAAGGAGGCTTTGATGAGCCGGCTCCCCGATGGGTTCCCCCCTGGGTCTTTGGGCTGTGGCGGAGAGGGCTGTGGCGGTCTATGGAAGCTGCCCCCGCCTCGGACCCGCCGTTTCCTCCCTGCTGCAGGAAGCGCCTGCACTGTCAGGCGTCTGTGTGGTGTGGGCCGCGCCCTTCCAGCCCTGCTGTGACACGGGCCAGCCCGGCGGGGGCCTCTGGTGGGGCCCACGGCCGCCCCTTCCCACCCCTCTCTCAGCCACAGTCCCGGAGGCCTTTGGGGGCGGGGCGGGCCTCCTGTGACTCGCGGAGACGGTCCTTACCCTGATTCGGAGTAGCAGGTCGGCAAACCAGGCTGCCAGGCCCATCATGGAGGGGTAGGCCCGGGCCACCCATGTGTCGGGCACAGTGTCATAGAACAGAGCCACGGACAGGTCCTCCATGTCGGTCGTGATGGTCAGCTCCCCCTAAGGGACAAACGGACAGGGCGCTGGTAGGCACGCAGACCGGGCTGGTCACACACCTTGTCTCCCCCTTCCCCCCCCCC